GAAGACTGCCCCAAAAAGGACCCAATAGGTCTCGTAAAGAATGGACAGGGTCCTAATTTTTTTGGTAACCAGAGAAATGTATATGAAGTGCCTGCATGACTGCCTGAAAGGCAGGGAGGAAGAAGGGGGATACACTGTCATAATAAAAAATAGAAGGAAAAAAGAGAGGTACAGAGATCTTGGTACTACTCCTGAATCAGGGCTCTGCAGTACCAGGACACACTACTAGTAAGACAAAATAAGCCTACAAGGATACTTTAAATTGAATGCTTTGAAAGCATTTATTATTATTTATGCAGTTGACAATGATTTGATAATTGCAAAATAAATCACTGAAGTATATAATCAACACATGCACTACATTTCCCATGACACGATAAATCCAAATTTCACTATAAATCCAAATCTGAATCCTACTGAAGTGTGAACCTGGAGATTTAGAGCTGATTCTGTAGTGTATATGCTGTATATCACCATATGTGGATCCCCTTTGGCCTTGACCAAAAGGCAGACCACTGCTTGGATGGAGCTTGGCAGCATTTTAACAGCCTTTCACAGAATGCAAACTTGGTGAGGCATTTGGGGGTTGCACACTCTATTACATGTAGTATCTCTGTTTGATTTTGGCTGAGGAGCACGACGACAGCCACAGTAAGAAAAGAGTTCACTGTGTTTTGAACCTTCTTTCTTACTGTCACATAGGAGGGTTTCATAACAAGACCTTCAGATTCCCCAGAACCTGGAGAGCAAAATGCTCTGAACTCACTCTGAGGATAGATCTGAATAAGAAGAAATGCAGAGGGGGGGAAAAAAAGGGATGCCGCTAAGTAAGCCAGAAGCGACTGCAAACTGTAGTAACTGAGGGATGACAGCTGGTAAAGCCTCTTGACTCAGAAAGACCCAGGTCCCAAGCAATGCTCTGGAACAAAAGTCTTCCACCTTTTCCCAGGTCCTGTAGCAAGGCACTCTGGTTGTGTGCCCTCTATTGTGCACTAATTGTGAACTGGATTTTTCTCTCAGATAATCAACTGCGTGTTGCTACTTGTTGTGTAAAATTGGCTCCTGTGACTTTTAGCGAAGCAAGCACAGAAAGTAGAAAGCTCTTGTTCTGTCAGAAGATGAAGAAAAGTGAAGGTCTGTAGAAATGTTGGATATTCTGTTCAATCGGGAGCTTAATAATTTCTGTAACTTTAATAGAGTGTAGGAGAGGGCATGGTAGCTAAGTTTCTAATTATGATCACCTTTAAATTGTCAAATTTCAGAGAACTCATTACATCTGGTAAGGAATTTAATTATTCTAGAGACTTCAAAAATTGCTCAGCAGTATGTCTTATTTGTGTTTTATTTGTAATAGTTCAGAAGTCATCTCAAGGCATCTACCTCTCCAAAATGGGTATGCATGTATTCTGTGTACCTCATGCTGTGCTCCTGTGCTTTAGTATGTGGTGAGAAGAATGGCTTGTTTGGCTCATGAGCAGCTGTAATGAGTATGTAGTACATGCACATATCATCCATAAATCTTGTTTTGAGGTAAACAGAAGTCTGGCAAGCATGCACTTTGATTGTTTGTTTGATGGGGAGAAATGCTGAATTTTGATTTGCTTTTTATTTGCAACACAATGACAACCTTTTTTTTTTTGCAGAAATTCATTGATACATTCCACATACAAAAATACCTGAGATTTTTGTCAAAAGCACGCATTTGTGTTTATATATTTTTGTTGATACTGGGGAAGATAAATAAGCATTTGCATCCACTTGATAGGGTAAGAGAGAGGAGAAAAATAAAGTGGAAATTGTTTTATATTTATGGCCAAAACTGCCGTCTGCAATGCCTTTTGGAATTACTATTGCAGATAGAGCATCTAGGAGACTCGTCACTTTGTGTCTACTTCATAAGGCCAACACTTCCATGAGAAAAAAAGAAGCACATAAAGTGAAATGACATATAATGAAAGCTAATGACTGTTCAGCTAAAGCTAGAAAGTAAAAGAAAGGAAACATTTCATAAAACAGATTATGGGAGTAAGAGGCACAGAGAACATGCAGGAGCTGAATATATATTAAAAACTGCACCAAAAACACCCTTTTGGTGATGTTTTTGTAAATAAGATGCAAAAGGCAGATGCTTCCTTTTTATCGTTTCACCCTGCATGGAGAATACCAGGGGAGAAGTCCCACTGACAGCTAAATGCACAGCAGCCCTTGCCATCTGGTATGTAAACTGCATCAGGGGCTCAGCAGAGGAAGCAGGGACAAGCACCATGAGAACCTATTTTAAACAATACTGTGCTGGAGCCAAGGAGAAATCTGTGTGCAAGTTGAGGTGACTGGCCCAATGGGCCAGAGGAGAAGAAATGGGAAAACCCACAGTGCCCTTCAGGCACAGGTCAGGGACAGGCACCCTATTGAGTGGTATAGCCACCATGTGCGCACATGTGTATAGCCACTCACTGGGTATTTTTTTCTTTTCAATCTTCAGGAAGAGGCAGCCAGAGTTCTCGCCCACCAGCCAGTGTCCGTCGGCACATGTGCAGCTTTGAAAAATCCCACACTGCAGTGAATGTGTAAGAGAAGCTGCATGACAAAGAGTTTTACTCCTTGCTTTCTCTTTCTCATTGGTTATCATGTCTAATGATGGAACAAATGTGGTGCATGCCATTAAGGACGGGAAATTTGCTTATGTCCCCTGTTTCACACAATGCCTTAATCTGATTGTCCAGATGTGATGAAGAGGACACTGAATAATTTTTTTGCAGCTTTTACATTTTTTTTAAAACCTTCAATTCTATTTGTGAATGCCTACAACTTTGCAAATACATCCTTTTTTGTGCTGATTTTATCTTCTTTTTCTATGTAGCCAACAGATTATTTCTTTTTTACAGTTTTGCATGGAGATGACATTATCCTGCGTGCTTTAAACAACAATCTAGTGGCTGTCTCACAGCGAGACACCTTTGCTGTCCCCAGCTTCTGCTAACTGTGCTTGTTATTGAACTGCTGCTGCAGAGCCAGCAGAGGGAACACAGAAAACACTGGGTTGGTGGGATTCGCAGAACAGGGAAATCATGAGACAGCACACATAAATAAAACCAGCAGAATCTGGCCTAGGAACAAACAGTCACCCTGAAGTGTTTTTAAACAGTAGCAGAGAATTTTTTCCTGTTATAGTTCCTGAAAGATGTTCCGATTCTGCATAATCTCCATTCAGTGAACAATAGCAAAGTTCAGCTCTTCAGAAACAAGAAGTGCAAATACTGCCCTCTCTGAGTGAACACAAATCGGGTGCAGAAAGCACACTAGCTGTTGCAGAAGCAGAATAGCCTTGTCTCACTTCTTCCAGGACAGATTTATGCTTGTTTCCATTTGATATACTGCAGCTGTGAAACAGTCCTGTGCCCTGCCCCAGGGAAGGTTGTGTAGTGATAACGTGGAAAGCTGCCTGCGATCCACTGACACAGCATTTTGAGCAGGACCGGCTCTGTATGTCCAAAGATGCTGTTCAGCTCCTCTCGTCAGCGACAAAGCATTCTAGCTCTGTATACGCCTCTGACAGTCTGTGCTATTTGTGGACAGGTAACAATATTAATTCAATCAAATTTGCCGCTCTGATTTTCGGATCAGAAGAAATACATACAGAGCATCATATATTTGGAGAAATAGCGATGGTTTTACAGGGCCTGTGCGATAAACAGATCTGCCACCCTTAAAGGCAAACTTTACAAAACCAGTGTAAGGAGCAGTACAAACATTTTGTTATTAGCTTCCAGTCCAACAACAATATGCCCTTCTTTTCTGATCTGGAGCGAGTGCTGCAGATCTCCAGAGCACAGATTGTCAATTGTCTGACTGGAAAGACTAATGATGAAATGGGAGTCCAACACATGTGTACCATTAGAAGGCAAAGAAAGGCAAATGCAACAACAGATTATATTCAAAAAGGATGGGCACAAGCTATAAAACTCCTGTGTACAGAGAAGGCTGAACCTCCTGCTTTTTGCATGACACTGTTTGGGATTTTTTTTTTTCAGTTTGAAAAAAAAAATAATCCTCATCCACACGAGCTCCTGAAAAACACCTCTGGTGGGTCTCTGACCAGTCAATGGGATTTCAAATGTGTGTGGCAGCTGCACACATAAGAAAGGCTCTAAAAAGCAGGAGAGCTTTTCAGACCTGTTGAGCATGAAGATTGTTATTTTGGCTTCTCCCCCTGTCCCTGCCTCTCAGGCTCCCCTTTCCCTCCAGCCAGGGCTGATGCTTTCAAAAGCCAGGCAGTGCTGTTCTGTGGCCAGGGGAAGGGCCCATCCTCTTTCAGACATTGACTGCCTGGGCTCCCTGTGGCCACACAGCCCGTTCTGAGCAGTAGGCACATGTCTGTCAGATCACCATATGCCCATCACCACTGCCTGGCCTCATGCCTGAATCTCAGTCGCCAGAACTACAGCAGTTTCCGAGCCTGAATTTTTCTGAGTAAGCCCTGATTTGCAACCTCAGGATGCTAGAAATCACTATGGGTACTATGGTTTCCCTCACCTTCCAGTTACAATCTAGTAGACATAGGGACTTGAAACTCTCTTGTGTTTTGATATACACAATACTTAGCACCAGTTATTGTGCTAATGTTGATCTCCATTCTCTGTGTGATCCTGGAGATGGCCAGAAATAATCATGAAAACATAGAGTAATAAAAAATTATTATAATATTAAAATACTCAGAAACATCAGCTTTGAGTTTCAGGGCTCTTTTCTTCTGAAGCTGCACATTTGTTACTATGGAAACTTTCAGATACACACAGAAAACCCACAGGCTTTACTTGCTGCTTTATCTACCACAGCATATTAGGGAGAGCTGTATATTACAAGCAAGGGGCCTCGTGACTAAGCTTCCTGTGGTAGCTGGATTAAGTTTGCACTCCAGACGCTGGCATCTTAAGGCAAGTCTGATGGCTCTTCCGGCACCATTTAAATTGTTGGGAGTTTATTAAATTCTCAAGAATACCAAAGAATCTGACAAGATATATGTAGGAGAAATACCTCATCCACTGCTACCTTTGCAAGGGCTACACACATTTTGGCAGCAAATACCCAGAGCAACAGAATTTTACCAGTTCATTTGGAATTTATTCCTGCTCTGATACTGCTATTGAGTAGGCATATCCTGGATTTTCAGTGTAATTTTTCTCTTTTGTAATTTCATCTAGGGTTCTCAGTTGTGCATCCAGATGCTATGGGAAATACCTTCCAGCCCTGGTGCCTTTCAGATACTTGCAATCAGACTGAATATATTCAGCTATTTTAGTTTTCTCTCACACATTCTCTGCCCCAATGGTGTATTTTTTGGTTGATCTTCTGTATACAGCTTGCAATTTGTTAATATCTTTCTGGTAAAAAATGTGGTGCTTCAAATAATTTTCCATCAGAACCACCGAGGATTACAAAAAAAAGTTACAAAACTCTAACTATATTAATTACCATTCAACTGCATTCATAGGAAAGACTTTCTAATCTCTATATCATGATATGGTGCTTCTGAGTAAGAAACACATAACTTATGGGCTATTTTTGTGGCTTCATTATATTCAAAAGTCATTAATTAGTGTTCCTTATTCAGCAGCAGCTCAAAATCTTTTTCGATGGTATTTCTTTTGATACAATATTTTTTGAAGGTTGTTAATCTTCACAGCCATCCAGCTGGACAAAATATTTTATTTCCACCCATCTCCAGTTTTCTTAAATTAATTTAATCCTATCATTTTCTTCCTGTGTTCCTAAGCTTTCCAGGTCCCTTTGCTCAACACACTGTAATTCTTAGTTTTTAGGTTCTATTAGTTGTGCTCTTTTTTGAGCCTGCTTCAGTTCAGGGATTGTCATTGGCTGCACTGTCATAAACATTCATTCAAATGCAGAACATATCTTCAGATAACACAAATGTGCTTCTCCATTGTTATCAGACGATCTATGATGATTTACACAATGCTTTTTCCATGCGCTAACTTTAAAATCCTTAAGAAATATTACAAGTATTTGGTAGGATTTACTTATTTATGACAACAAAATAAACAGGTTCAAAAGTGTTTCACTAGGAAGCACACTTTTAAATTTCTTTTTGATTTGTAGGTTTTTGATCTTTATTTCTTGGACACTGGAAGAATTTCACTGCTATTTGAGACAAGCCATTTATCATCCAAAATTGTATTACAGAATCACAGAATCATGGAATGTATTGGGTTGGCAGGGACCTTTGAAGTTCCATCCCCATCTGGGTGACCTGGGCATAGAAGCAGGGGGAGCTGGCACCTTCTGATCCTGCTCCAGGGGTGTGACCCCAACCTGCAGACCCTGTGCATGGGAACCGGGATCATGTCACATAGCTACTGAGTCCACATTAGTCTGTATAATACTAACATTTCAACTTTAAAAAAAAAGAAAAAAAATCGGCAAAAAGATCAATTATCAATATGGTCAATGTACATTAGAAAGCCTATGTGTAGCTCAGATCAAAGTAATGTTTAACTTTTGCAGCAGAATAACTAATGAAGGAAATAACCAGGTTAGATTTAGTTGACGTAAGCTAGTGGCAAGACAGAGGGCTGGAAAGGTAGCTCTGGGCTTGCATTCGCCTTCAACAACCTTAAATGTTCTGCCCCAGAGAGACAGCCTGACAGCATTATGTTTTCCTTTATTTTGCGTAGCAGTTTCCATCACATGTTTAAAGCAGCTCTTTAACTCCAATAGAACATTTTGTCTCATGCAATTTTGTCCTAAAAGAAATGCAGGCAGGGGAGCAACAAGGAAAAGTTAGTTCAGTAATTTCAATCTCCAGAAACACCAGTGGGAGGTTAAAATTTGCTCCAATTATATAGCACCACAGAAAGCATTGGACTCACACTGAGAACTGTTGTAAGGTCCTCTTATCACTGAGATAGAGATTATGGTGTAAATGGAGTAAGGCTGAAATTGGTTTGTAATTCTTTCTTTCTTTTAAGTGATAATAACTGGTGCTTATCAGACAAAAAACCCTAGCATACACCAGATAGGGACTGTGGTCGATGATGGTTTCCTTGCTTTTAGGTGAGCCACAGACAGGTTAAACCTGGATTAGTAAATGACATGAATGCCTAGAAGCAGTGCTCCAAAAATCAGGCACTCACGAACATGCTAACCAGTGTGGCTTGCTCTGCTAATGAGTGACAGGGCTGACTGCTGCAGCTCCGAGAGGAGGGTCCTGTTTAGCACAGGGAGGTATCACTACCCTAGCTTAAGGCCACTTCACTCCCCTAATTAAATTTCACACCCCAGTGGCCTTACTGAATTGTAGAAAATAATAGAAGAGACCTTGGGGATACCAGCAAAGCACATGCATTGTGCTGCAGTGCAGGTACTGGCCTTAAATGTTAAGCTGGTTAGCTTGGGTCCTGGGAACAGTGAGGCCACAGCAGGACAGAGCTTTGCTCAGGCTCATTATCGCTTCTTACATGATTGCAGGGTAGGAGAAAGCTGTGGATGGCTAACTGCCTTCCTGTGTGCAGGGCAAGAATTCCTCCCCTACCTTCCCTAGAAGGGCATC